GCATTGAACCCATTTATGAGCCTATGTTAAAGATAAGTCAACTGAGAGTAAGGTTTTAAGTGACTTGACTAAAATCCTAACTTTAGGAAGTGGCTATGCTTGCCTAGTATTTCAATCCAAGCCCAAGATGTCTTACAACATTCCCAGGTTGCCTTTCAAGGGCGCCCGCGTCCCTAACAGCTAGTTAGATTCATATTGCAAGCATCTCAAAAACAAAAAAAAAGACACCTTGAGGCATGGCTAGTGTCATGGATAATGGGGTGGGTGGTAGGTAAATTGTGATTAAAGATTGTTGAGTTCTCCAGTTGTTCAACATGCTTACATGAGTCTCCAGTGAAGCTTTCTCTGGGCATTGCCTCGGTGTCCATTAACTGAAGAGGACTGCCTCATCACAGGTCAAGGCCAGTCTATGTAGGGGACTCAACAAAGTTATTTTTGGCCTCCCAGTAGGCGTGCTCCTAGGAACTGCATGACTTGTCCATGCCAAGGCTTTGCTTCAAGCGCATCCATGATAACTTCTACTCCCCCCTATCCATGCCATCCTTTATTCCTGCCTTAATTCTTACACAGGCACTGATTCTCCCCCACAGTGCTTCCCTGTAAAGCTGTGCATGAATTCCCTCAGTGTTTGCCTCACAGGCCTTGACTAAGACCATTGAGTCTCTAGTCACTTAGACTAATGGAAGGGCTGTAGACATGCCTAGCTTCCCTTGGTTATTCCTCCAACAGCATCTTCCCTTAGGGGCTCAGTGCTGGAGAGAGGAGAAGAGGAGGGCTTAGGAGCCCTGAGAAAGAACACGGTTCAGTGGGATGGTTAGCATGATGCATGTGGGCAGCCAGGCCATGTGGTTCCAATGTCGAATTCTCAGATGAGTGTCCACCCTTCAGAGCCAGAAATAAAGAACCCAGAAAGCCAAAAAATGAAAAAGCCTATAGTTCTTAACCCTCATGGTGTAGCCCTTGTTCACAGGAATGCCCTCATTCTACTGCTGTGATCCTGGTGACTGCTCCAGGGAACAGATCAAGCATAAGCATCTTTAAAAATTCCCTCAGAGGTCTAAGGCTCAGCCAGGACTGAGAAACTTGTCTCTGGAGACCAAGAGGCCGCAAAAGCCAGCAGTCCACTGAAATTTACGCCACAAGTTTGCTCTGCCCCCTGGGTGATCAGTTCTGAACTTACCACCCAAGATAAGTTGCTGGACAGTGCTCATGGGGGTAACCATGTCTCCCAGTCTACTGAAGGCTGCATGTTCCTCCAACGCAGTGGTTCTCAACCTCCCTAGAACCCTTTAATACTACAGTTCCTCATCCTGTGCTGACCCCAACCACAAAATCATTCATGTTGCTACTGTTATGAATTGAAATACAAATACTTGTGTTTTCTGATGGTCTTAAGCCACCCCTGTGGAAGGGTCATTTGTTGCCCCCAGGGGAGTTGTGACCCACAGGTTGAGAACCACTTCTCTAGAGGTGTACCAGGAAGCAAGATGAGCACAGGGACTCTTAAGGCAGGATCTTCTGAGGTGCTAATTAAGCCTGTGGATTCTCTGAGCCCAACCCATACATAATCAGAATCTGTAGGGTGAGATCGGGGATCCACATTTCTTATCAGACTCCCTGAGTGAATCTTCCCCACAGGAGTTTGAGACCTGCGGCTCAGAGCTCACTGCCAGGCACTGTTTACCAACATACTTCCTGTGTCTAAAAAGAAAAAAGAAAGAAAGAAGACCTTGCTGCTTCTGTGTTGCCTAGAGCACACTGCATTTTCCAAAGCACACTCAAGGACAAGTTCCTGAACAGATGTATGAACCTGTTGATGAATCTCTAAGGCTGAGAATATTCTTCAGTACATCCCTTTGAGCTCATTTCCCCTGCTAGCTGGTGTGGTAAACATATCTCGTGAATTGTTCCAAATATTTTTTTGTCATTGTGCAACGGAATTGACAGTTTTGTATAATAAAAGGTTAACATAATGAGCTGAAAAGGAAATGAATAAAGCTTGATTGCTCTGTTTGGAGGCAGTATTTGCAACTGGGCACACTGTACTTATCTTCATGCTTGGCCCATTGTCTAATGATTGTCTTCTTGGGATGTAAGATGGCTCTCACAAGGACAAAAATAGATATTACGAGACTTGTGTACATTCACCCAATAGTGTTCCCCTATCAAGGTGATACAAATATTCCTCTGACCACAGTGTGAAAACAATAGCATATGTGAGCTTGCTTAAGGCTCTCTCATGGGGCATGTCTGTGTCTTCTTCATACCCAGCTGCACATGTCTCCTCTAACTTCTTTAATTACTTGGTGATGACATGAGCGTTCATATAAATGAAATGATTTTCATTATCTTTCACAGTAAACAGCAGCAGGAAGCAGACCCAAGAAAGAGCCCCAAGTGGACCCTACACTAGTCTGGTTCCCCTCTTCTTTCTTTAAAATCTGTTTATCTTCTGGGGTCCAGTTATCTCTTGGTAGTCCTTCTGTCATCCCCAACCTAGGTAGAGACTGAGATAGCTCCATCTCAGCACCCCTTACTTTCTGCCTCCCCTCAAATGGACATAGGCAGCCCTTTTGCTAGTTTTCTTGTTTAACACCTTAGGGAGCACAGAGACAGGCCCAGGAGTCCATGAGAAGTTATACCAGGCCACTCTGGCTGTCCAAGATCATTTTCTTAAAGGGTCCTGTGATGGTCAATGTTAACTATCTTTTCAATGTGAACTAGGATCACCTGGGAAGAGAATCTCAGTGAGGGCTTGTCTACATTAGATTGCTTTGGGGACATGTCTGTGGAGGTTATCATGATTGTGTTTATGCGTACCCACTGTGGGTGGCACCATTACCTAGGCTAGGGATTCTGAACTGTACAGAGGAGAAAATGTGAGCTGAGCACAGGTGCATGGGTTGTGCTCAGTCCCTGATTATGGATGATTCGATGTGACCAGATGGTTTAAGGTCCTTCTCCCTTCTCTAATACGATGGGTTGAGTCCAGGAGCTACAATCTAACTTAACTCCCTCAAGTTGTTTTTCTCAGAATGTTTTATCAGAGCAACAGGAAAAGAAACCAAGACAAGTACTGGCGGGCTCTCCCGGGGGGACTGGAAGTCTCTCTTCAGAGGACAAGCTAAAAGCGATGCACCTGTCATATCATAGCCCAATGTGTCCATAAATTTCAAGTGGTAGGAACGAGTTCTCAGTGTGATAATGTGCAGGTGGGGAGCTATTAAGTAGATTAGTCTTATTACCATGGAATCAAGGTATCTGTTGTAAGAGTACATTTGATATAAAAGTGACTTCATGTCTCTCACTATTGCTGGGCTGTCCTGCCCTCCTGCTCCCTACCATGGGATGATATAGTATGTCAACTCAAGGTATTCTGTTGCCTTGATGTTGCACTTCCTCTGAGAGTTCCAGAACCATGATACAAATAAACTTCTATTGCTTATAAATAAGTCTCTCTGTAAATATTGCTGTACCAGGAAAGAAACAGACCAAATATCTACCAACTACCCCAGCCAGGGCTTCTGCTACCAGGACAAGATATGGAGTTGACCTCTTTTTAGGCTATGTTTTCGTGGATCTGAGTGGCAACTACAAGGACACGACATGATGGGTACTGAATTATGGCAAGCTCGCAGTCACCCTGCCCTGGTGCAGATACATTCCCCTCCAGGTGTCAACTCCCTACTCCTTCAACATAAGCAAGACTTAGTTTCTCATGGCTGCTATACCAAATGGAGAGAGATGGCTGCTTTACTCATGTCTCTTTGGTTAGATTTTTCTGTCTTTCTGTGTATAGCAACACATGGTAATATGAGAGACAGATATATTGCCAGTCTCTCAATCTCTTCAGGAAATTCTTAGCACACATTGGCTTTCTTATTCTGGAAGCAGGTGAAAATGTGTCCCCTTTCTACTCAGGACTTTCCTACACTGGCCATTGTCTGTCCTTGGTCACCACATTCAACCTTCCTAGGAGTGATCTCGATCTCCACACGAGGAGTCACAGCTTCTCTACTAACTTGGTTCTCCTAACTTCCATCCTCCTGGTACTAAAGTTTTTACTACAGAGCAATCATAATATGTAGGATAAGCTAGACTCCACTTTTGGCTTTAGCAGGTCCATCACACCTGATCAGGACACAGGCTAAGAGTTAAACTTGTTCCAGCTCCCACAGATATGTATCAAGACCAGGACAGACTGGCTTAAAAACTTGTACTTGTAACTTCCTATTAAACATAATATCAGATTTACTATTTATGGTAAATCTCATCTATGGTATTGTCTCAGCCTAAGAGCATGGCAATACCTATACTTCATAGAGACCATGAAGATCCATGGGCTCCATCATTCTGGAGGTCATCTACCCTAACCCTCTGCCCTTGAGTAGTGCTCTCCAGGCTTCCATGTCACTTCCAGACTCCACTCTGAGAACTGCAACTTACACTTCATTTGCCTAGGTGAAATAATTGTTACAGCCCAAGATAAATGAATGGTCTACCTCACCAACACTCGAACAAGCCACTTGATTTAGGAACTGCACTTCATGCCACACAGATTTATTGTGTACCTCCTGTAGGCCATGGATCTGCTAGAAGGTTGAAATATGGATGATATATTATCCATGACTCTTAAGTAGCTCAAAGACTAGTTGGGAAATGATCAAGTACCTAATAGCCAATGCGAGAGAGAAAATGATTTCATGATACAGGGAGGTGAGAGGAGGCTGGAGAAAAATCCAGAGGGTAGGATCCTGTAGTCTTTGAAGGAAGAGTGGACAGTGTTCAAATCATGATTGACTGTTTACAGCTATGTGATCTTGAGTAAATGATTTAATCTTTAAAATGCATACTCTGCGTGTGTGTGTGTGTGTGTGTGTGTGTGTGTGTGTGTGTGTGTAAAATGATGGCAATTGTCTTCTCTCATTGGGTTAGGAGAATTAAATGAAATATTTAACCAAGACTCCTACATAGAATCTCATGAAGTAGTAACAACAGTAGCGATTGCTAAGATTTACTGAATATTTGCTGATAGGTGGTAAGAAGAGACATAATGTTTGAACAATGCTTTGAAAGTGATTTGGGCTAGACTGGGCAGGAGAGATATGGTGACATATTTTCTACAGGGGGGCAACACAGCAAAGTTCTTGTGAACATGGAAATACAAGACTCTCCCAAGGATTGTCAAGGCCTCCCATGGTTGGGAACTGGCCATGGAGCATGCAGGAAATGACATGGCTGGGAATTGGTCATGGGACATGGAGGAGATGACACGGCTGGGAACTGGCCATGGAGCACAGGACATGGAGGAGATGACACGGCTTGGAACTGGTCATGGAGCAGGGACATGGAGGGGATGAGACTGAAGAAGTGGTACCCGCTGTCTGAGCACTTGAAGCTTCCTTCCTGTGCTGTAGTTCACTTCTCCACTGTCCAGTGCCACATCTTCCCCCGCCCCTGGGAAAACCAGTACAATTTATAATGTCAAAACATTCCAAGCGGGGTGGATCAATGCTTCAGTGGGTAAAGCAGGTGCTGTACAAGCACAAGGACAAGAGTTACGATTCCCCAGATAAATGTAAATACCAGGCAAGTATTTACAGGGATTCCTGGAGCAAGCTGATGGGTCACAGTAGTCATTTTGGCAAACTCTGCGTTGAACTTAGAGATACGGCCAGGCTGTGGAGGCACACACCTTTAATTCCAGCACTTAGGAGGCAGAGGCAGGCAGATCTCTGTGAGTTTGAGGATAGCATGGTCTACAAAGCTACACAGAGAAACCGTGTCTTGAAAAACCAATAAATAAATAAATAAATAAATAAAACCCTGCTCAACTTAGACATGCTGTCTCAATGAACAAGGTAGAGAGTTATTGATAAAGAGCCCCAATATCAACTTCAGGACTCCACACACATATACACATATGTGTATATGCACCTGTATACACACATTGGCCCACACACATGCAACATGAATATACACATGTGCATACACCACACATACAGAGCTACATAAGAAAAACCCTAAGGATAGAAAAATGGCCTTTGTGTAGTGCTAGAAGGGTATGGCCTTTTGTATGAATATTTTAGCAATAGAAACTGGAATATTGGCCGGGCGGTGGTGGCACACGCCTTTAATCCCAGCACTCGGGAGGCAGAGGCAGGCAGATCTCTGTGAGTTCGAGGCCAGGCTGGACCGACAGCCTCCAAAACAATACAGAGAAACCCTGTCTCGTAAATATCAAAAAGAAAAAAAAAGAAAAGAAACTGGAATATTGGACCCGTTAGATGGCTCAGTGGGTGAAAGCACTTGCTACCTTGGACTGTCAAGGTGGAAAGTGAGAAAAACACTCCTAAATGGTTTCCCTGACCTCTAACACATGCATTATACTACTACTACTACTACTACTCACACACACACACACACTGAGAGAGAGAGAGACAGAGAGAGAGAGACAGACAGAGAGAGAGAGAGAGAATAAATGTAATTTAAAAAGAAATCAAAATCATTCATAGTGTCCATAACTCTTAACCCAGTGCTTTCAATTTTAAGAGTTTAGCATAAGAAATCCATCAACACCATTTAGGGAGATTCATGTAAGCAGATTTGTAGTGGATAAAATTCAGAAATGATTTAAATGTTCAGAAATGCAAGATGAGTTAGTGTCACCAAACATGAGTCAGGGAGCTTGAAGCGTGTAAAAACCAATGCCCAAAGATGAGTTTGGGAAGAGAGGAGATAGGCTTTATAGAGGATGCTAGCAGGGAGGCAGATATTTTAATATCTCAAGTGCCACCTTGCCCATCATTGGAGAGGTAGAGGCATTTATATGAGGACCCGAGGAAGGGTCGTGTGCAGAAATCAGTATTTCCCAGGAATGGAGTCAGTGTGGCACTAACCAGAACTGAGGGCAGGACATTCCATTCTTTTCAATTAATGTTTTAAAATTAAATCTAATCAAATATTAATTAATACAATCATATACTATATAGTATAATTATATTGTAATTGTAATAAATTAAAATATATCACTTTCTCCCCTTCCTTCCTTCCTACGTGACTCTCTTATTATTTCTCAAATTCATATCCTCTTTTATTTGTCTTATATATATGTGTGTGTGTATGTATACACACTCTCCCTTGCACTTTCTCTCAAAATAACATCCTCTTTTCCTTTGTTTTATATAAATATCGTCTCCCCCCACAAGGCAGGGGACATGACGATGCATCCTGTAGCTATGGGCCACCACGGAGCTTGACCGTCAGGTCTCCTCTAACAAAACAATATTCAAGCACTGAAGAACTAGTAGTCACCAGAGCTGTGGTCCCGAAGATCAGCCAGCAGCATAGAAGGAGCCTGTTTGTGGTTGGGTTTTAGGTGGGAAGGGCGGGATGGAGACCGATACTATAATCTGAGGCTTGTTTAAAATGTCAAGGGAAGGATGTCTGTGAGAGGCACAGGAAGAGAGTGCCAATGCTGGGAACAAGTTTCGTTTGGAAGGTTGAGAGTCTGGATACACACCCCACCCTAGAGCCATAGCAGCAGCGGTTGTGAGGGAGAAGGTTCCAGAAGCCATTTGGAAGAGGAAGAACTAGGACTGGAGGCAAAAAGTGAGTCAGAGACCAGCAGCCTGGGCAAAGCGAGTCTTCTCTGGTACCCAGGGATAAGAGAACATGCTCTGTGGAGACCCAGAAGACACCCCCAGGACTCACCAGAAACATGGAGGAAGTCTTGACAGAGAGAAGGCTGAGTTGACCTGGTTCAAGTGTAACTGCAGACTGGACTGCTGGGGATTTCTGAATTCTATACGGAAGGGTGTAGAAAGACACACACAAAAGAGTAAGAGCTGCCACATCGTTTGAAAAGCACCTCTGGGTCCTCTGTCCCTGATGCTTTCACCCTCCGCCCATTTGTGCACACTCGAGTCTCTGCTCCACTGGACATGCAAATGGGACTCTTGGTTGCTGCTGGGGTCCTGCCCTGCGAGGCACAGTAAGAAATCAGAGTGGAACGGACGTGGGCCTGGCTTGGTTCTGCAGAAAGTCCAGCGGGCTGAGCCCTGTCTCTTCATAAGTTTTTGCACTAACAGAAATCAGTTCCACCCAGCTTGAAATTTGTTAGGTGATCCTTTTAGCTGTGTGGCAAGTGCTCTGTAGACCTGTTTACCCTGTCAATTGTGCCTTTTGCCATGTTTTCACATAGACGTTTTTAATCCCTTAAACCAACATTGTTGTTTTCTTATAAAAGAAAACAGAATAGGGTTTATCAGAACCAACCAGACCAAGAGCATTTTACCTTGGGGTGCCCTGAAGCATCAGTCTGCCCAGCAGACTTCTGGATACCCATAACACTGCTTGGAAACCTCATTGAAGATGCTAATGTATATCACAACACTCATATCAAGTCACACTGTGTGTCTGCCCTGTGGCTGTCGGTTATGTGTGTCTCTCTCATTAAAATAGTCACAAGTACCAAGGTCCACATCTATGTATCCCAAGCCTGGCAAAGAGCCTGGAAAAGGCAGTAGCATAGGAGCCAGTGGTTTGAGATGGACTGATGAATGGACAGAGAGGTAAAGTCCAACCCAGGGCTGGAGGAAGAAGATGAGGAGAAGCCAGGAGAGGGAGCTATGAAATGCTTTGCCTCTTACACTCAAGTATGAGTGTGTTGAGACCCGGTGGAGACTGGGTATGTATTTACACGGGTAAGCAAAGAAGCTTCTGGGAAGGTAGTCTTTCCTTGGGAAGGTAGGTGACCCAAGGACTGTAGCCTAGGCTGAGCACAGAGTGTAGCTCCTAATCCCAGTCTCTCTCTGACGTTTTTCTGGGGCCAAATACTAGATAAAAATAAACCTTCCCTCTGTTACTTCTACAGGATACCAAGCAAGAGATGAGGCAAGTGCAGGCTTGGGATCAGCCATGGCAGAGACAGCCAAGCCACTGTCCGGAGAAGGTGGACTTTGTCGCGGGCTGTGGGAAACACAGCTTCATCCAGGGTCACTACAGGGAAATAAGCCCAGAAGTCCTGGCTTGGGCCACCCAGGATCTGTGTGGCTGTTACACACAAATTGTGACAGCACTGGGAAGTGCTTCAGGAGGTCTCCATGACAGAGTTGCCACGGTGCCACTGTGCCATGACAGGAAATGGGTGGCTATTGTGCCTCCCGCTCGGCGACCAATGGGCTGCATTTCACAGCAGGCATGAAGTAAAGAGTCTACCACATTCTTCCGGAGCAGGAAGTCCAGTTAAGATTTTTATGGTGATGTTTATAGTTTCAGGATAGAATTCACTAGAAACACAGATCACTGGGAGCTGCCTGATAGAGAGCATACAGGAGAGAGAGAGAGAGAGAGAGAGAGAGAGAGAGAGAGAGAGAGAGAGAGAGAGAGAGAGAGAGAGAGAGAGAGAGAGAGAGAGAGAGAGGAGAATACCAGCAAATCAGCAAACAGCCCCTTCACAGCTGCTGTTCTCTGTTCTTACAGCCCAACTGTCAGCAAACAGAACTCACCTTGTGCATCAAACACTCCAACAAAAGACATTTCCCTTGAACTCGGTCCTCCAGTGACTATTGTAAGGACAAGGACTCTTGCTTTTAGGAGGAAAAATATTTCATGAGATGAGAAAAGGCAAATCCATCATCAGTAAGCCAGAAAAAAAGCCCAATTATTTTCCTGGAGGCTCAATCTTAATATAGGATCATGTGGGTGGGGCTTTCTGAGATATTTTCTCACTATTCTGTTTTCTGATATGATGGCTTTCAAATGTTTTTGACTACATATTTAATCAGTGAAATTATCTGGGGCATGCACCACCAACATGCATATGTATGAATATTTATTCATAGTTATTACAGAAAGTGTGCTGTTTGTTGTGTCTATAGTCAAAGTCCTAATAGTCTGTCCCAATAAACAAACAAGACTCATCTCACAGACTGGTAAACGAAGACTTAAAGGAAGTGTCTTCCTCAGACCTGATAAAGCTTGTGAGGATGGATTAAATAAAGCCCACCGTAAGTCAAGCCAGTGACCTCCCCCACCAGTTTACCCACTCACTGCCCTGTCTCCACGGGTGGTCTAAGCTGCTGTCCCTCAAACAGTCAGATTCTTCCTTCCATGGTGTCCCAAATCTCCTTTCTCCCAGTCCCTCCCAGTTTGGGAACAGACTGTTCATGTTAGCCTCTAGTAGTTTCCACATTTGTCCTGCTTTGCCTGTTTTTCCATCAACTCCTGTAACCCAGGGTAAACCACAGTATCAGGGTTCTGCAACCGGGAGACACAGGCTTCATGGGCCCCATCCATTTCCCCACGCTCCATTAGGCAGAGATGATGCGGAGTCCATCTGCGGGTCTCACCATGCCCAGGGGTTGATGTATTCTGAAATTTATTTGTAAGAAGAAAATGTGTTCTTCACCAGGACGAACATGAGATGTGACTTGCTCTGAGTGACCACACCCGGCAGGGAAGACGAGGTGTTTGAGCTTCCGGGATGGAATGAGGCATGAAGGAGAACAGCTTCCCTGGTCTTGTAAAATCACCAAGTCTCAGAAACAAGGGAAAGATGAAGCCATGGAAATACCTGGAAACAAGGAAAATTCAAGTAAGGCAGGTGAGAATTCATCAGCTAGTGTGTCAGAAGTTAGGCAGGGCTGGGTAGGGATGGAGCTGGGCCGGGGTGGAGGGGTTAGTGGGGGATCTGGGAGGTCTCACAGTTGAAAGCATATTCAGCTCTCTGTGTGTCTGGGCGCCAAGGCTGGGATTACTGTTTAACTAAGGTGGGGCTGCAGTGCCTGCTGAACCCATATAAGGAAGCACCGGAGAGGAAGAAGCAAGCAGAACCTGCCTGGCATTGCCAGCCCTCTTGTGTTTCCTCCAAAGTGACAGCACTCTCCTCCATTGTCCCCTCTGCCTCTCGCCAACCCTCAAGAACGCTGCAGCTCAGTCTGTGAGACTGATTCACCCCAGCGGGCTTCGTGCAGGATCTATTGGATGCACCTGCAGAGGACACAGGTGAGGTGCTCTGGACCTAGATAACCCTCCTGCCATCAGCGAGTCTACGTGTTTCCTGGGAAACCTGCCTCACCTCGTGATGCTGGTTCTGGGTCCTGCCCCAGGGCTATGATGCAGGATTCAGGGTCTTTGAAGACTGTGCCTTTCCTATGTACCTGGTCCAAGGAGATAGATGCTTCCAGAGGGAAGAGTCAGAAAGAGGGGAAATCATGGTCAGAATATATTGTATTTGAAAATATCTATTTTCAACTAAAAATGTAGTAGGGACAAACACAAGTTGAGTCTTGCAGAGGGGCTTATCATAATTTTGCCCCAGTTCACAAAGAGCAAAGATCTCAGTCATTTAGTCAACTTTGCTCTCTATTCATTTGGGGCCATGACCTTGAGGTCATTGCTGGTCATAGGAACACTCTGATGAGAGGAATCATTACTTCTTTTTTAATCTATCTTTTGTGTGTGTGTCTATGTAGGTGTCTGTGCATATATGTGCTTATGTGCATGAATTTCAAAGTTTAACCTTGGTGTCATTTCTCAGACATTTTTCACCTTTTTATTTACTTATTTATTATGTGTATAAGTGTGTGTGTGTGTGTGTGTGTGTGTGTGTGTGTGTGTGTGTGTAGAGGCCAGAGACCAAACTTGGGTACAACTCCAGGATTCACCTACTTTGTTTTGCGAATCAGCGTCACTGGGACCCAAGACTGGATATTTCTGCTAGACATATTGTCAAGTGAGCCCCAGGGACCTGCCCATCTCTGCTGGAATAAGCGTGTTCCACCATGCCCAACTTTCTATGTAGGTGCTGAGAATCTAAGTTGGGTCCTCATGCTTATGTGGCATGGACTTCACCAACTGAATAATATGCCTAGCCAAGTAATCGTGACTTCTATGTCCACTGATTCACAGGTCTGGGAGAGTAGGCATTTAATATATATATTCACTAAAGGGAAGCATGGAGCACGGACACTGTTTTCTAATAATATGGTATAATAGCTACAAGAATGAAGTTGAAAAAACTCTGAGCTCAACACAAAAAGCAGGTCACAGCCACTGCTGAGTTAGGTGACTTCTATAACCTCCTGCTACATTGTAGTCACATGAGTGCCTCTGTGGTTGCTGAAGCTACCCAGTCTTTGAGATGTGATGCTGTTGTCAGGGTGACACAGCTGGGTAGGTCAACCCCATGCTTCCCAGATTAGAACAAAGGTGTATTTCCCTTTGTGCTTAGAATGGGGTCACAAATGACAGGTGGACCTCTGTTTACCCCCAAGAGGCAGTGACTGGATCTTCAACCAGAATACTTTCTTGAATTTCTCTACTGTGTACTCAGCTTGACCTCACTGCTATCTATGGGAAGGTCTGGTAACTATACGAGGGATTATTTATTACTATGAGAAGTGGAGAGATACAATAACATGCTACTTGTGTAATGGGCAGATGTTATAAGTACTGTGAGTTCATTATTCCCAATTTGTAGACGGAGAAAGTGACTGTTAAGCTCTTACTAAATGCAAATGACAGAGCCTTGGTTTGCTCCCTGATTCCTTGATTGCCTCTTAGGCAAACAACTTAGAAGAGAAGGTGCTGGGAGGCAATGCACAGTGAATGCCTCCTCATTGGCACTGGACAAACTTTGTATCCTTACTACCTTACCTGTTAGAAGTGTCCCAGTTTCCTCTTCGCTAAGATGTGGTAGCCACAGTTGGTTCCTCTGAAGACTGAACAGTTAAATAAAATGGTAAGTACAAAGGACTTTACAGTGCATGGGTTGTGGATATTGCTCAAGAAAGTTGAGTCTTTATTAGTGATGATACTTTATCCCGGGCTCCCTGCTAACTGGCTACTGGCAAAGTTTAAGTGCTCCTGTACTAGCGTTAGGTGCTACCATCCAGGCAAGCAAGAGTGAGGGAAATTGGAGGTAACCAGAGAATGGTGGGAAACAATAGAGATTCACCCATCTGGCCTCTCTTCATACAGAGACATGGCCCAGGCACTTAGCTAGGGAATGGCTGTATATCTTGTCTTGCATGGAAACAAGAGAAGTGATGAACATTCTGGATCCCTCATTTTCCTTGTTCAGATGAGCTTACTCTCCTGTTCTCCTGACTGTGTTATCTGATTCACTGTCCCTCACTGAGAAACCTACACTCATCTAGTCTTTAGGGTGGGCACTTCATCAGAGTCTGGGAACAGTTGGCAAAGGTGTTTCCTTGTCTGGGGTAGAAAAGGAAACTGAGAGGCTGAGTAACTTAGTTTCTTTTTTTGTTGCTGTGAGAAAACACTCTGGCAAGAGAAACTTACAGTGGGAAAGGATTTCAGTTCACAGCTCAAGATTACAGTCCATCACTGTGGAAAAAGTCAGAGCAGAAAGAACTTGAGGCAACGAGTCACATTATGTCTACAACTGAAAGACAAAAGCAATAAATATATGCACATTAGTATGTAGTTTACTTTTTCAGCTCTTATACAGACATGCCTGGGGAATAGTTTTACCCACAGTGGTAGGTCTTCTTACTTCAATTTGGTAGTCAAGATAATCCCCCATAGACATGCCCAGAGGCTCATCTCCCTGGTGGCTATAACCTCTGCCAACATTACAGTTAACACTAACTGTTCACACTAGGCATGGAGGCACATGCAATGAACCTGTGACAAAATGTAAGTTCAAAAAGGACCAAATAATCATTTTAGTATTTTACTAATTATCCATTTTCTTGGCATAATGTAATATACTAGCATTTTCTAGGGGTCACCTCTTTCACCCATGAGAGAACCATGAGGGTTTCAGATGGCCCCAAGCACTCTACCAGTCAAGCAAATGTCCAGCTCCACCTCTGCCTCTTCAACCCTGCTGCCTAAAACACATGGAGTGAACGCGGCAAGCAAGTAATAACAAGAAAGAGAAAGGAAGGAATGAAAGAAAGTGAAGGGGGATGAAAAGAGGGAGGGAAGGATGGAGGGGCAGAGGAAGGAAGGAAGGAAGGAAGGAAAGAGGGAAAGGATGGAGAAAGGAAGGAAGGAGGAAAGGAAGGGAGGAAGAAAGGAAGGAAGGAAGGAAAAAAGGAAGGAAGGGAGGGGAGGGAGGAAGAAAGGAAGGAAGGGAGGGAAGGAGGGAGGGAGGGAGAGAGGGAGGGAGGAAGGGAAGGAGGGAGGGAGGAAGGGAGGGAGGGAGGGAGGGAGGGAGAGGAGACTAAGACACCCAAAAGACATATGAAGCTAACAGAGCCAAAAGTAAAACAGTGTATGGTTTCTGAGAGCTGTAGTTGGGAGCTCCTTGGTATAAAGGGTTGATGCCAACATTTGGGCTAATGTTGCATGCTGTCTTTTCTTTGCTTGGAGAGTCATTATTCAAATCTGCATATAAAGGCTATGCAAAGGCCAGAAGAAAGGCGTTGAACCCATGACCTCTTCCTCTACCAAATACCTATAGGAAGCACTACTTTTGACCATAGCGGTTGTAAGCGGGCCTTGATCTCCTTCTGCCTTGATCCCTAAATTCTCAAGGAACTTTATTACATTCTATTTTTTTCTATTCCATAGATGTTTTGTTTTGTTTTTTTGCAGAAAAATTCTGCAATATAATGAGAAACCCAGCAGTATGTAGAAAGTTCATCAACCTGCATAGCTGAATACCCAGTAAACAGCTGGGACCAGTTCCTCATCTTAATGATGAAGTTGCATGTGAGATGTGTGAGGGGCCCTTCTAGCCCTCTGTAACCGCGATATGTTCAAAAGCAGCTGTGAACCCATTCATCCAGCTCCCGCGTTGCCTCAGAGACAGTCTAATTGTCTTCTTTTGTTTAGATCTATATTCATTGCTTATATCCAGCAATGAATCCAACTTTTTAAAGTGCTGGTGTAGGGTACAAAGTAAGTTTGTCACACTAGCTGCCCTTTTGTTTGTCACACTAGCTGCCTATCTGATGGAGTCATATACGAGAAGAATGTTGGATAACATCACAGATGTCCTGGTGTTCTATTGCATTGTTGGGTACATGGATAACACCAGGGATGACCCTGTTCTAGTACCAGTGTCTTCCTTGGACCTGTGTATCAACCCTATCCACCTACTCAGTGAGGGTGCTTTTCCCAAATGGGCGCAGGATCCCCCAATGACTCCCTGTTAACCTCGGGTATTTGGAAAGGTGGTTCAAGCAACAGGAGAGGTCTTGATAGCATCCCCATCTCTTCTCAGAGAGAGGCTTCAGGCCTGTTGGTATTCATGAGGGCTGACCTGTCCCTCACTCCGAAATGTGACCTTATCTACTTGGAAACTTGACTTTAGAACCTGGGATCATCATCAGGTGTTCCAGATTGCTTCTCAGGAAAAGAGAATGGTCCCCTTGGTCAAAGCGCTCCCTGGCTGTTGGTACCACTTACTCCTCCTTTCCATCCCCACCACTCCCATGCCACGTTGGGAGTGGCCGCTGATAGAGTCAGAGTTGGGCTGGGCTTCCAGGCCAGGGCTCTGCCGTACACTTGTGAGCTAACACCGACCAAAAGTTAGTATGTCAAGCCAACTGGGAAGCCAGAAGCAGCAATAGAGGGGTAAGGACTATCTTCAAGAGCACCGTCTAGAGATGGGTCACAGCACATGCATGTTTTCTGGCTGTGTGTGAATGGATGAAGAAAGGCATATATACTTAAACACAGTAAAAAGAATCTCAACCTTACTGCCTGGTAATATTTAGGATACATAAGATCCTTTCTCTTTCCGTACATATTCTCAGCACCATAAATATAGGGCATACATTTAGAAGGTAGGGGAAACTTTGAAGAAAGTCCAATTTGCTTCCAAAGGGAAAAACTAAGGCTAGGGGGAGCAATGCTATATATGAGATCAGAATAGCAACATAGATCCTCTCTGTTCTTTCTATCCCCTAGAACTTCCTGAGGTGTTCCTGTCGGTTAGGAACCCCTGTATGCTTCCTGAGGCTGTGAGGGTGGGAGGTTGGGAGGCTTTGTTCACGAGCCAGGCCAGTGGGAAAGAGAGTGGTGTGGCTGCCATGTCTGCTGACCCACAGAAGGTATCTTCCACACTCTGTGCTCTCAATGCCAAGCTGTCAATCTCCTTGGCAGCCAGCACTGAGGCTAAACCCAGTCACTGGCAGGCAATGGATGGTTCTATTCTGAGCACTCACTTCTCTGGCACCTGCTATAGAGCCGGGATGCTTCACTGCTTCTAAATCCGAGCGTGGAGAGAGGCTTCTTTCCCGGCTCCCACTCCCGTGGCCAGTTGGTGGGCTAGGGATTATCTCGGAGGATGGCGGGCACTTGCTCACTCCCATCCCTTTCAAGCCTGATTAAGGGGAATGGACAGGCGCCATGTGTTACTGCAGGCTGGACTTCCAGCCCTGAAGCCGGGGATAGTGCAGAGGCCCCCCAAGTGCTGCCCAACTTCTCCCACTTGACTTTGAACCTCAGTTTCCTCCTCTGCAAATGGAACACACTGCGATCTTTGTGATGATAAATCTCGCTTGTGATAAACTATGAGATAAGATCCTGGGCAGACCTGTGAGGATTATCCTCATCACATTAATTGATATGGGAAGGTCCACTCTAACTGTGTGTGGCACCGTTTCCCAGCAGGGGAGGCCTACACTATGGAGAGCGGAGAAGGCAAACAGCCCATGCCTATACCACTCTGTTGCTGTCTCCTGCTACGTTGACTTCCCCGCTGCGATAGACTATACCTTGAACTGAGAGACGAAGCAGCCCCTTCTCTCATAGGTTGCTTTTGCCAAAGTGTTTATGCAACAGCAGGAAAAGAAACTGCGAGAGTTTTCTTCTGAGACTTGCTTTTCTGGGAGACATAACCCCCAGCCTTGGCTTTAGACCATAAAGGGCTGGGAACTCCCTGAGGTGTCTGAAGCATGAACATAACTCAAGGCCAGCAGTCACCTTGGAGTTTAGTTCCGTCTTCAAGACCTGCCACCAATGCTCATTCTCACACTGGAGCCTTCTCCCCCTCTTTGGGAAGTTCTGAGCCTTCCACCAATGGCAGACAAGCCTATGCACAAGGCCTCTTTCTTCTCTCCTATCTCATGCTCCCTTTCTCTTTCTCTCCCTTCCCCCTTCGTCCCCTCCCCATCCTTCTCTGTCCCCAGTCCTCCCTCCCCATTTGCTCTGTGGACTGGCCTCTCCCTCTCCTCCCCTCAATCCCTCCTCCTTTCTCTCTCCCTAACGCTCCTAGGCGTGTCAAGGAGGCACATAGCTAAAAGTGGTTTGCACGGGGTGTTTTTCCGCCAGAGAGCAGTTAAGTGCCTTATTTTCTCCACTCCGGTAACTAAATTATTCTCCACGTGTTAAACAGTGTAATTAAACACATACACATGAGAGTGAGCAGGACCCTTCCCCCACCCTTCCTTGTCCCTTGTCAGCAGAGAGTGTGTGAGCCCCAGCCTTCAAGCTCTGTTAGTTTTAATTTGAGTTGTGGAATTAGTAATGGGTTTTGCTGTAACACTGTTGAGGGAAATAGATCGCTTCTCGTGCAGGGTTTGGGCACCATTTCAAATGAGTATTTGTTAAGGGGAAAGCCGTCCCTTGTCGTGTTCTGCTACATTACATTAGATTTATTTCCATTGTTCTGAAAAACACCAGCCAGGAGAGAGAGGACTGTGTGCATCACTCCTGGGCAAGCAACAATTGAACACTTCTTCCTGTTTCTTAGCTGACTGGGAAAAAAATATAAAAGCAAACCAACTCACCCTTTGTGGCTAGACTATTCCAAGTACTTTCTGTAGACAGGGACACCGGGACAGCTCAGGCACCTGTCAGTGCAAGGCCTGGGGGAGCTGCTTTCCTGGGCCTGTCATTGGAAGGAAGTGACTGAGTGAGTCGGTGGTGGGGAAATTGGATGCCGAGGAAAAGTAATTGGGTAGAGAGAGCCCAGCAGGCCAGAGTTGAAAGCGATCTGCAGGCTGCAAAGACTCTTCTGCGTCTGTTTGCAGTCGTGCTTGATGAGTCCGACTGAAGCTCTGTCATGCTCTTCCTTGTTCCGTGGCATTTCGTGTCATTAGCAGCACTTTTCCTGGGTGCTGCCCAATAAGGCAGCCACTAGTTGCACGTAGATGGGTACAGTTAAATGCAATTTAAATGTAAATGAAATAAAATGGAATCAAATTAAAAGTCGGTCACTGGCCTTATACCAGGAGCTCAAGGGCCACACGTGCCTAGTGATTCCTGTGTTGTATGTGACAGCGTGTTAATCAGAGTTCTCTAGGGCAACAGAGCCAAGAGAAAGAATATATATATTAAAATCTTACTTACTAGACTGGTTTGCATGATGTGGCCAGGTTATTTCCAACATAGGCTGTCTCACACCAGAGAGTCCAAGAACCCAGTAGCTGTTCAGGGTCCAGAGACAGTCAAACTGCTGCCTTCCCAGGACAGCTATGCTCTGAAAGGCTTGGGAGCTGGGATGCAGGGGCTGGGGACAATGACATTTCTGTGCCCTCCCTCCCAGGAAACTTATTTAGATACTGATCATGGTCTCTAGGCCCCTTGCCTGCTTGACTGGACTTCTTCCAGCCTGTGTATCTTATTTGTACAAATTTAATAAAGTCACCCACTGTTCCAGGTGGATATGACTAGCATGTCAAAAAGCCTGCCTGCAAGTAGAGTGAGTACTTACCTCCCTACTCAAATTCTACTCCTGCTTGGACAGGAGAGGGAGGGAGGGAGAGCCAGACATACAGACAGAGAGAGAGAGAGAGAGAGAGAGAGAGAGAGAGAGAGAGAGAGAGAGAGAGAGAGAGAGAGAGAGAGAGAGAGAGAGAAGCAATGGGCCACTTGGAACATAGCCTCTAGTACTGAAGCCACACATTCAACACCCCAGAAGACCATGAGCAGCTTAATATACAAGACTAGAGCAACACATTGCCTTTGAAGTTCAGACCCCAAGCATAGTCCTGCTCCATTTTAAGCATGAAATTAGATATACAGAATATTTTCTTTTTCTTTTTTGTCCAGCATAATCTTTTCAGTGATTAGATGGGAATTTCATACAATGCTCCCCAGTCACACTTGCTTCCCAGACCTCTCAAGTCCATCCCCACCCTTGTGACCACCCCCCAAGAAAAGAAAAACACACACCAAGGCCAGTTTGTATTGCCCATATACTTATTGGAGCATGGTCCAATGCCCAGAGTATTTTCAATGAAGTTTTGCTAACTTTGACCCTGCTCTCTCTGAATGTGTACAGTTAGCCTTCTCATGCAAAGACAGTTTTGTGTCAGTCTGGGTCACACTTCATCCCCAGAGTTCTGAGGTCATGTAGAGTTTGGATTCTGTCAGCTCTTGGGTTGTGGCTCTCTTCTATTTCCACTGTTAAACATGACAGAAAAGTTGCAAAGGATCTTCATTTAAATCTCAGCAGGTGGAAATGCTGAGCAGGGCAGGGCAAGGGTCATAATTCGATGACCACCACAGTACAGTGATTCCCAGGTAATCCCGACTCACTCATCGGCATCTCTGGGTCAAAGTGTGAACTGTGGATCCTGTTACTGTGATGCATTCTCCATCACTGTGCTACATTGCACAGTGCTTCCATCTGGCAGGATGCACAGCAGCCCAAGCCAGCTACCACCTTACATGTACAGGAAGACAAGATTTTTATAGAAAATTGTTTTTAAAGACAGGAACACTACACACACACACACACACACACACACACACACACACACACACACACACACACACACACAAAACGCACATCCTCCAGCATTATTTGCTAAAAACTCAAAATGTTCCTCATGAATCTGTTTCAGTTTTTTTTAACCAGACTTGTTAAAGTTGCCATAGAGCTATAAAAATCCTTAAATCAGAAAAATTGTAGTGTTAATTAAAAATCAACTTTAAACAAACAAAAAAGGAGAAAAGCTCACAGTTTTTTCTATTAAATATCCACAACTGTTAGCATTTGGCTCAGTTTATAAAATCTAAACTGATACTTTAATATGTTTATGTAAATTAGAAGATAGTCATGTTCTTCAAAATGACACTGTGAAAGAAGATGAAGCCACAAGCTGGGTGAAGACATTTGCAACATATATGCCCAATCAAAGACAACTATCCCAAGAAGATAAAGAAGTCCTACAAATCAAAGAGAGAAGGACAAGCCAGTAGATAAATGTGCATAAGATATGAATATTCATTTCTCAAGGGAGGGAGCATGGATGGAGAAGAAACATATTGAAAAATGCTCAATCTTACCACTAACCAGGGAAACAAATTAAGACCACAAGGAGTTGCTACTTGCTCACACTAGATGGATACTAATGAGAAACTTGCCGATACCCAGAATCGCTCATGATGTACGGCAGTGGAGACTCTTTCTTCCTTGGAAAACCATGTACTGGCTTTGACTGCACATACACATAGTACACACCCAAAACGCCTACTTCAGGAGATCCAATCCGGAGATATTAGGGCGAGGTGTGCCCAAGCATATTTATGGCATAGCTTTTCGTTACAACAAAGAGAACTTCTAATATCTCTGGAGAGGTGGCTGTGTACGTTGTAGGATAATGTGTAAAATAGCAAGGAAAAATGAATGATGAATGTTATATAAAAGCTATGTACAGCACCTACTTTTAATCAACTTTAGATACAACTAACACATAACTGTACATATCTGAAGTGCAGACATTGATGGAACCGGAAGGTGTCCACACATGTGCTGTCCTTACCACACGCAAGATGAGCATCAGTGTCACCCTCGGCAGTTGTAATGTATTCATTCTTCTCCCTCACGTTGTGGGTGACACCAAACATTCCCGTCACAATTACATAGTTAAATGTACTTGTATGGCATGTGCCCCTTTCAGCTCGTTCCCTCATTCAGCATGATGATTTCTGAGAGTTATCAACATGCCGACAAGTATCAGTGCCATTCCATCAAAGAGACCTTTCCATCTTTCCACTCATTCAAATACTGTTAGGTGCTGCCTGGCCAGTCTTCCTCATGGCCACTGACATCCATTGCCTTCTATCCCAAGGTCCTAGTTAATATTCCTCAATTCCCTCGGATCTGCAAACTTCTTAGAATACATAATCAGTACCAGGAAAGCTGTTGGGTCAAACTGGAGTGAATTAGCCACTGCTGCAGATTGAGCTGAATTCCCTCCACCCCTACCAAGACTAGTATGTAGGAAACCTAGCCCCTAGCATGACTGCATCCAGAGATAAAATCATAAGGAACTAGCTTGCGTTAAGAGTAAGGCCTTACACAAAAGACTGTGGCCATGTATAAGAAGCAAGTGAGAACGCAAAACTGGGCCTCACTTCTGGCCTCCAGATGGGATCAATAAAATCTGTTGCTAGTGGGCCCAGTCGGTGGTGTTTTGTTATGCGGTTCAAACTGACTAAGACAGTTTTCCCCTCTACAGAGTTGTGTAGAGAAGGCTGGATTCAGCCTGTTTCATAGATGCAAAAGCCAGCAGAAGGGGAGGTTTCATAACCCCAACACCTTCACTCTTCCTGAAGCCGGACTAATTAACTTACACAATTACTCAGTTCCTACCCGTTCTGCCATTGTCATACCTCCCTGTGCCATTTTTCTTTGAGTGCCCCAAAAGATGCCCAGCAGCCAGCTGGACTTTAACCTGGGCACTGGTGGGACCTTTCCTGTCTTTCATTTCCTTTCCCATGTCAATGCGGTTGATTATTCACTTGTTCTTGTTTCTCTTACGCTGTAAGGCAAGTAGGGGGAAGAAGAAATGAAGCCCCCCAAAAGTGACAAGTGGGAAAACTGATGGGTCCTTTCTGGGACATATCATAGTGACACAGTGTCAAGTTCTGCAGATGAGTAACCCAGAAAGGAGAGGACATGGTAGGTGCGAGGCATGTGTGCTGTGTGTCTGTGTGCATACAAATACGTCTCTGTTAGCTGAATGGGCCTCCGTGTTTGTCCTTTCTGTCACCCATCAGATTCCCTGCCTTCTCCCCCCTTCCCACAGAGATGGACATGAAGTCCCACCCTTGACTGAGGCACCCTTGGTAATTGATAGCTTCTGGGAAAGGGAAAGGCAGCTGTCATTAAGGGTGGAACCTCTGGTTGGTCAAGCATGCTGTAGGAGATGGCCCTATGCCCAAGTGGGCGTGGGCAGCACACATTGGGTTTAAAAAGAAAAGAAAATGAGGGCAGGAAATTGAGTGAGGAGAGAGATAGAGGTGGATCTGGGATACGCTGGGTGGTGAATATGTATGCGAATCTCAAAGAATTAATAAAAACATTGTTTTAAATAAACAGGGTTGAAAAGAGAAAGATTCTTCCCCAGAGTATCCTACCTCCTTCAGCAGCAGACATCAAGTGCCACTGCCCTTGGAACATTGCCCTTCCCCCTGGCCTAGACAGCCCAGTGAATGAGTAAACAGTGGAGAACAAATATTAAGACAGAGAGGTATGATCACACTCTTACCCTCATCCTTCAGTTAATCCTAGCCTATTCTGGAATACAGTCAAGTTCTTGTCTTAGACGATGTCAGCCACTACATAACCCACTTATCCTGAAATGATAATGGTCCCTGTGCTGATAACAATTACCCATTGACCAGTTATGGTGTTCTGCATTATACAGGTATAGTTTCTTCTGGGTCTCAGAATGACCCTATTATGTACATAAAATTATCTCCATCTTACAAATCAGGACAGTGACTCTTAAACAGACATGCCTAAAGTCTGGCCAACCCACTACCCAGTAGTGGGCAATGGGAACTCTCTAGAATAGACCAGGAAGTCATTCCCTACTTGTAAGACCTTTGAATGATTCTGAACAATAAATGAAACAAAAATCCTTTAAACTTTAATTTTACATGCAATTATGGGCTCCTTACTAGCAATCCCATAATTGTGTTATTAAGGGTAACTATAGTGTGGTTTTCATACGCTAAAATTAGGTCATTGCTAGAGTCTTTCACATACTCCAGTTCAATATATGATGGAGAGGCAGGAGGCTGAGTAATGCTGTGTTGGTTCCCCGGTCTCTGAGCACACACACAATTGGCAAACCCACAATTTCGTAACTCTTCATTACCAGGTGTCATTGTCATTATCTTGAATTGACAAGCAATTTCTACCACTGTTTTCCTGCTCTTGAATGATAGCTTGCTGTTACTCCAGCTCTGTCACTACTATTTAATTTGTCATGGGCGCTCTGTATAACCCATTGCAGGTGGTGAGGTGTACAGAATATTTTGGTTTGTTTTTTCCCAAGAATTAAACTGAAGAAATACATATACCATGCTAAGTAAAGACAAATCAATTGGCCTGTAGTTAACCATTATTTTACCTTAGGTTAAACTATATGGATCTGATTATATTTCGCTGTTTTTGATCCACAACAATGCTGCTTTTATAGCTCTCAGTCTAATAACGCCAATGTAAATTATTCATACCTTATTTGGGAGAAATTATAAGTACAATTTCCCTCTGAATATGCTCGTACAATGACACTTAACTGGTGATATTCTGCCTGTGAATTCACACTCAGTAATTTGCCACATACCACTACCAAGTAACTGCGAGATCATTGCAAAGTTATTTTAAGTTTGCATATGTTTTTCTGGGATTCACAAGTCCTGGCTGTCAGTTCGTGTTATTCCCTTATAAGTTACTTCTCTGTGTTCTCTTACTCTTTATCGCTTGATTTCTTCACTGTGAAGCAATAGCGTGTGGGGAAAAATGGGCATTGGGACTTTATATGCCACCTACGTATACATGTGCCAAAGAAGCTTCACTAGCAGGACTTTAAGATCTGCAGGGGGTTTTCATGTCCCACTAACAAGGTGAATTTTGAACTGTGGTCCAGGCTAGCTTCACAGATGGAGGACGGGATGGATATGTTGTTGGATTCCATCTGCTCCACCTGTAAGGCCTCCTGGACAAGAATCCTAAACCTTTGTTGAAAAGGTATTAAGGAAGTTAGACACTGGCATTTAATGAACTCCTCCTGTGTATCAGCTTCTTGGTTGGGCCAAATCTTATTTAATATCATCACAAAACCTGTAAGTCTGGTACAATCAACCCACATAGGTGGAGAGATTAGTTCATAGACATAGGAAATATTTCAGTATTATAAACCCAAAAGGTAGATGATAAAAGTACAATGCAAAGTTTAAAACCCAAGTGGTTGTCAAAACCCCAAACAAAACAAATGAGTAACACAGCTGAATTTGACTTTCCAGTCTGCCTTTCTAGCCATTTCCCCCAATACTTAACTATTCCAACCCTAATCCCACTAAACTGTCCAAGTCACTTCAAATTTCCCATACCCTGTGACTTCACAAGCTATTCAAGGCAGCTACAGATACTCAAAACATTGCCATTTTTCCACCTGGTAAATTCTTCTTCCTTCAAGGCTGATTCAAATGTCACCACCTATGGAAAGTCCTCCCGGGCTGTCAGAGTTATGATGCTTTCTCTTTAGGGTCACAGACTTTGTACTCGTTTTTAATTGAGTGGTGTCTGTTGAATGATAGCTGGTTGTTGAAACGTCTAATCCATCTTCCTCACTTGATAATGAGCCCCTAGAGGATAAAGATCGTGACGCATTTGTCTTTGGATTGCCAATGTTCAGAAGAGTGCCTGGCACAAGGTTAATGCTCGACAAATGTTCATTAAAGGGGCAAATGCCCTCGTAGTCTCTGGTTCACACAAGACCACAGGGAGATGCTAGCGCAGTACACCAAGCTGAGTGCAACAGGAAGTAGGGATGTTAAATTTCAGTTGACGCTTGCCCACCCAGGGGCTCTATACCAGGGAGCAGCAGGGATCTGAAAGTGAATGCATTAAAATGTGCTGGTGCTGATCATTTTTCTTTTTCCTCACCAGAAAGAACGGATTCCAGACATCTCTCCAGAGATAGCCATGGCACACAACCCAGAACCTCCACCAGAGACCTCCGTGGTCAAGTTCAAGAATCAAGACTTTAGGACCTTACGGGATCGGTGCCTGAACAGGGGTCAGCTGTTTATAGATGACACATTCCCCGCCGAGGCATCTTCCATAGGCCAGAAGTTGCTCAAAGGAAAACACCTTTCAAAACTGGAGTGGAAGCGACCACAGGTGAGTGAGCCCTGTCTGGGAACACAGAAGGCGCTGCCAATCTGGGAGCTGTGAGCCATGGCATCTCCCAGTGAAAAGAGGGTGGGCCAGCCACAAACCAAATTGGAAAGAAAGTAAGTTCATCTGGTTTGTCTGCCATAGTCTTTTGTCCAGTCCAAGGAATGAGAAGACTCTGCTCAGAACGGAGCCTGGACCACTGCTTCTAACTCAGTTCTAATAATGACCTCATCAGCAGATTAAAACATCCCAGTCCTATGACTAGAAAAACGGCATGTCATGAATCGGGAGGCTGTGCTAGTTGGTCCCTAGGATCTCTCCACCTCTTTAATTGAGCCTATCTATCAGTGTGTCACCCTTTATTCTCTTCAGGTGTCGGTGTCTTTATGCTCCTTTCTTCTTACCTACTAGAATTTACTCTAAAGGAATATATCATGTCGGTCATTTATACTATAGGATGAATTTAAATAATTGCTTTGCCTCTCTTTTATAATCCCATTCTCAGTCTTGTAAAGGGACTTCAGACATCTCCTGTGACATCAGAGAGGTAGCGCAGGGCGGTGTTCGAATCACCCTGACTCCCCCACCTCAGCAGACGGCTGCTGACTCTACCTTGCAGTAGGGTGAGCCCTGCTGTTTTCGAGAACTGTCTCAATATTAGAGCATGAAGCTCTGTGGGAAACGTTGCAGCAGACTGAAGTTTCTCATGATCTCATCAGGACTCTCATGAATGCAAAGGAGATAAACAGGAAATGCTTTGGGATGCCTGATGCTTCCTCTTCATACCTCCGAATCTGCCAATGCAGCCTGAAACAAGAAAATAGTATGAAGTCTGTCAGTGGATTCTGAGAACAATTCAAAGCACTGCTTGCCAGCCAAGCACTGACTAGGCACACTGGGTAACACCAGACTAGCCTCTGGTGATGCTGGGAAGAGGCTGGGAGACCTGGGAGATGCTACATTATCTCTCTTGCCCAAGGCTATGTAATTTAGTTCTGCACACAGAAAAGAGAGCTCAAGACACTGAGCTCTGAAGAGAAAACTTCTTGCCTAGCCTGAACAGTTATATCTCTGGGGAAGGAAAGGGCTAGTGGAAACGAGGTGGGGTTTCAATGCTGGTTCAAGAAAGCTCAGTGCATTAGTGAGTTTTGTGTGGTTTATCCCATCAGTCCTTGGCAGCAGTTCCTTAGTTATGGCTCTTCTTTTGTCTTTACCACCTGAGGAGGTAGACAACTCTAAAGAAATTCTGAAGGGTCACTTTACCTCCTCTGTTGTTTTGAAAAGACGAGGTTCATTTAGAAAGTATTTTTGTTTCCCTCACAAGGTGCTGAGCAGTCTGTGTGAGGCCTTATGGCATTGAGAACTTAATAACATTTCTATTTAGAAATGTGGACAGTGCCTAATTGTAAATTCCAGTCAACTTGTGATGTCTGTGGGGGACAAGGAGAAACTGAGGCAGTAGAAATGACTCATACAGAATCAGACCAGAAATCCAAAGGAAAGGGTTAGAAGCCATGCTCATTTTCCCATCATGCCTCACACCCAAGTACTTACCCATATTCTACTAATGGTCAGTGTTTATTTCATCATATATTCTCAATTATCATATTTCCTAATGTGTCCCTTTCCAAGTTTAGCATTGCCTGTATTTATATACTACTTTCTAAAGCTTTCCATGTAGTTTATCTTACTTGAAGCCTTTATGTGTTTTAATGTTACAAGAAAGATAACGGCTGGTTGGTGGTGGCACAGCACTGGGGAGGCAGAGACAGGTGATCCCTGTGAATTCGAGGCCAGCCTGGCCTACAGAGTAAGTTCTAGGACAGGCTCCAAAGCTACAGAGAAACCCTGTCTCAGAAAGAAAGAAACAAAGAAAGAAAGAGAGAGAAGGGGGAGGGAGGGAGGAAGGAAGGGAGGAAGGAAGGAATGAAGGAAGGAAGGAAGGAAGGATGAATAGAAGGAAGGGAGGCAGGAAGGGAGGGAGGGAGGAAGGGAAGAAGGAAGGAAGGAATGAAGGAAGGAAGGATGAATAGAAGGAAGGAAGGGAGGAAGGAAGGAAGGAATGGAGGAAGGGAAGAAGGAAGGAAGGAACGAAGGAAGGATGGAAGGAAGGAAGGAAACAGGCTTGTGCTGATGCTATGCTTGACTTTGAGATGACTTGGTTAGAGAGAGAAGGACCCAGGAGTTGGATCAAGACTTCCCAAGGCCACATGCTGTACTTTTACCCATATGAACTTGCATGCCTAATAAGGGTTTGTCAGGATTTGGAAGAATAAATAAATGAATGAGTGGGTGACTATCTACAAATGACTCATTCAGGTTTCAAGCTCATATGTACAAGAGAGAAACATCTTGTTGACCAAAGAGAAAACCCAGGAACCTGTCTCTTTACTGACTATTGTAGCTTGACTATGCAGAGTATTGAAAGAAGAGCTGCAACCAACCTGGCCCAGGCCTCATAATAAAGCCATGATGCACATGGTGTGGTGACTTTAAGCTCTCTGAATGATTTTTAAACTATCGTGAGGAACTATCATGAATTCCATTCCTCATATAAAAGCAGAAACAGCATAGAATGGTCAGTCTGAAGCCACACAGCTAAACAATCCAAGACCTATATGCCTGACTTCACAATACATTGTCTCCTATAAACTGTCATGGTGAACTCATGCTGTATGTTATATTCTTGGCTGTTGGTTGTCACAGATATTTTATGCACCATTAGACTCTCCAATCTCATATGGTCAACCAGGAACCAACCCTTCCATAAATTCGATCTCTGTCCTTAGATGCTCTCTTTGTTCCATTTCATAGATGAAAAGTAATAGGGATGATAAAAGTACAATGCAATGAAAACTGGGTCTGATGATTTTAAGGAGGGACTGAATGCGATGCTTGGTATCTATCACATTGTAATTACTTACTACACACTAACCATTGCTTCTTTGATCCCTCGATGTTCTTGGGCTTTCACAGTCAGAGAATTCCAGCTTCAGCCCTCAGACAAAAAAGTCAGTGAACGTTTCCAAGGAGATATGTAGGTCAGAGAAAACTGTTGGGGGGCTAAGTGGCTGCTGGGAAGGGATGTGCCACATACGTTTCTTCCAATGTCCTGTATCCCATCTCTGCTTTCACAGTCAAACCTCCCCCACCTACAGCTCGCTTCATGCTCGCCCACCGGTCTCATTGGCTCACCTGCTCCAAGGCTCCATAGCCCATCTCTAGACAGTGGAGAAACTCCATACTCTAGGCAACTGCTAAGCCACCAGGGACATTAGTCTTCCTAGAGTAGCTGTTCAGTAGCTCCAGTTCAATAGATTCAACAATAACCTATAAGTCAGGGGCCTGAGACCCAGGCTCAGTTTTCATCACAGAAAGGCTGTTTCATGTCCTATAACTCCTTTTCTCTCTCCCTGTTTCCCTTCACCTATTGTATTAGTTACTTTTCTTGTCGATGGTCCAAAATACCTGACATAAGCAGCTTTTTCCAGCTGATGGTTTAAGGGTATTGTCCATCATGGCTAGGAAGGCATGGCAGCAGAACAGAAGGTGACTGATTGCAGACAGGAAGCAGAGGAGACGTTGATGTTCAAAAACATTTCTTCTTTATATTTGTTCAGAACATTAGCCCACGCAGTGGTCCCACCCACATTGAGGACAGGTCTTCCCACCAGATTAACATAATCCAGAAAACCCCTCATACATATGCCCACAGGTTTGTTTCCCAGGTGGTCCTACATCCCGCCAGGTTGACAGTCCAGATTAACCACCACCCTTACATTTCCTTTTCTCGCTTCTCCTTCCTTCTACCAATGAATCCAGTGTGTATTTCTGCGGGAATGTCGCTGAAGGGGAATGTTTCTCACAGCCTGGCCCATCCCACTTCTCTGCAAGGGATGCCCAACCCTGCTCCTCACTTCAGCTTGGGCTCTGCAGTAACCTGTGACCTTGCAGAAAGGGAACTCAAGGATTCATCATTCTTAATGTTTCCTATAACCTCTGCTCTCAGTAAAAGATAATGCCAAGAATTAAACATGGGGTATGTGTGCAATGCATTCTCTAAATTAAACTTGGTAGTTAGATGGCCCCCTTTTAGGAGAATTTTTATTCTGTGGCTAATAGTAATAAATCCCGCTTACTGAGTATGTACATAGTTGAGGTATTATACTAAGTGCTTACATGCAATTTGTCATTTAATTGCCCTCACCATCCTGTAAGGTGGATGATAATATTATGCTAACTAAATAGATCAGCAGTGTCCCATAGCCCTTTAAACAATGATGGAGTTGCTCACTCTGCTCCTTTCGCTGCCATGGGCACCAGTCAAACGTGTCTACTGAGTACTTGAAATGTGAACTGTTGTGCCAGGGGGTTGAGATGGAAATTTTACTGTTGTTTAAGTCTAAATCAATGGTTCTCAACTTTCCTAATGCTGCAACCCTTTAATACAGTTCCTCCTGTGGCGACCCCCCAACCATAAAATTACTTCATTGCTATTTCATCATCTGTAATTTTGCTGCTGATATGAATCATAATGTAAATATCTGCTATGCAGGATATCTGATGTGAGACCCCCACAAAGGGATTTCAACCCAAAGGTTAATAACCGCTGGTATAAATCAACATGTGTAACTATAGCTATCATAGTGGACAGCACAAAGCTGAAGACTATAGCTTGCCACCTCGTCACCAATGTGGGTAGACTGAGGAATTGGAATGTCATCTTTGACCTTGTTCAAGGAAGAAATAATCCACTTCTCTACCAAAGAATGAGACGAACTGAACTGAAGATTCTAGTTCAGTTCACGGCTCCATTGTGGACCCAGTCTATGGTGATTCCAGAGCAATGCATTTGCCAGCCCAGGAAATATCTTCACGTAGTCAGAATAGCTTCTGATGGGATCATTCACTGGCTAGAAGTGACTCACTGAAATGTATTCTTCATAAAAAGAAGAGGGGAAGAGGAGATGGAGATCTGAATGTGGGGTAAATAGTAAAGATGT